ATATATATATATATATATTGAATGTATTTATATATATGTACATGTATATGTATATGTGTGTGGCTGTACATACACATATGTAGTTGTTTTTGTTTTGGTGTTTGGCTTAGTGTTATGTTAGAATCATTATTATACTTATACCTTTTGTTCTTTTAATATTTTGAATTGTTTTTAGCTTTATTTTTTTGTTTTCATTTAAATGTTTCGTTTTGAAATGTTGTTGTATGCATTTGTCATTTTTATTTAATTTCTTTTATTTTCTTAAATGTGTATATATATATATATATTATTTATAGAGTTCTAGCTTTTAGTTTTAATTACTTTTTCTTATTTGTAAGTCGCTTTGGATAAAAGCGTCTGCTAAATGACTAAAAGTAAAGTAAAGTAAAGTAAAAATAGTAATAATAATAAGAATTTCATGCATTTAGGAATAAAACAAAAGTTTGGTTAAAATATAAGATCATCGTTTAAGTCAAATGTGTCTAAAAAATTTTTTTTTGACTAGTAATGCATATGGTATATTATATAAGTTGGCCCAAAGCACATTTACTGCATGTTTGTCCTCTGTTTTTACCATTTCTGTCTGATATTTTATCTGTTTCTGTCTCTCAGAGGCTCAGGCCTTTGTGACCCTGGCCACCACAGATTCCTATAGCATGGGATGTTTAGTGGTAGGCAAAAGTTTGCGCAGGCATGGAACATCAAGGAAGTTAGTGGCTATGGTTTCCCCCAATGTTTCCAGAGCATCAAGGTGAGAGGGTAACTATCCTCCACCATTCATTTTGAAACAACATTAATGTAAATCCCATTCTATACCCTGCTTTTAATTATACCTTGCCATGCGTTTGCAAGTCTGTAATAGTTTTCAGTGCAACATTAATTTTATTTTCGGTTGCTTCCCATCTGTCTTGGATTGTCTTTGACTTTTTTGGCTCATTGATTTTTATGCATTTGCCTAGATTGGCCCTGGACGACGTGTTTGATGAAGTTGTAGTGGTAGATGTGTTGGACAGTAGAGACAAGACTCATCTCACCTGGCTGCAACGTCCTGAACTGGGGGTCACCTTCACCAAACTCCACTGCTGGACCCTTACACAGTACAGCAAGTGTGTGTTCTTGGATGCAGACACACTTGTGAGTACTTGACAGTAAAGATGGCTACTAAACACTAAGGTGTTCAAAGTTTTTGCTTTAGGAACATACAGTGGGTACGGAAAGTATTCAGACCCCCTTAAATTTTTCACTCTTTGTTATATTGCAGCCATTTGCTAAAATCATTTAAGTTAATTTTTTTTCCCCAAATCCAGGTGTGAAAAACTTGTTGCATCTTTCCCAAAAAGACTCATGGCTGTATTAGATCAAAAGGGTGCTTCTACTAAATACTGAGCAAAGGGTCTGAATACTTAGGACCATGTGATATTTCAGTTTTTCTTTTTTAATAAATCTGCAAAAATGTCAACAATTCTGTGTTTTTCTGTCAATATGGGGTGCTGTGTGTACATTAATGAGGAAAAAAAATTAACTTAAATGATTTTAGCAAATGGCTGCAATATAACAAAGAGTGAAAAATTTAAGGGGGTCTGAATACTTTCCGTACCCACTGTATATATCCAAAAGCAAAGTTATGGGCTTTTTATTAATAGCCTTGTATTCACAATAGGCAATAATAAAATTAACATATGTTACAGTGCAGGTAACCTTTTAGAGAATTTTAGACTTTTAGAGAATAATGCACGAGGTGTTGGTCCCAAAATGTGGCTGTAATATAACTCTGTGCCGCAGGTACTGTGTAATGTTGATGAGCTGTTTGAATATGAAGAATTGTCTGCTGCTCCTGATCCAGGCTGGCCGGATTGCTTCAACTCTGGGGTATTTGTGTTTAGGCCCTCCCTGAATACCCATACCCAAATACTGGAACACGCTGCACAGCACGGCAGCTTTGATGGTGAATCACACGGTTATATTTAGCTGATATTACATTCAGATCTTTTATGTTCAGGCTAAATTGGATGCACTCAAAGCCTGTTGGAACTTTAATTAGCCTCAAATGCTGTTTTGTCACATTTGTATTTTTTTATCTTTAAAAACAACAAGAGAAGCGCATATACATTACCATTCAAAGGTTTCAGTAAGATTTCATTTCAAAGAAATGAATACTTTTATTCAGCAAAGATGCATCCAATTGATCAAAAGTGACAGTAAAGGCATTCCAAATATCACAAAAGATTTCAAATAAATGCAGTTCTTTTGAACTTTCAATTTATCAAAGAATCCTGAAAACATTCAGAAATGTTTCTCAAGCAGCAAATCAGCATCTTGGAATGATTTCTGAAGAATCATGTGATGTTGAAGACTCGAGTAATGGCTGCTGAATATCCAGCTTTGCATCAAATGAATAAATTACATTTGAAAATATATATATATTTTTTTATATTTTACAATATTACTGTTTTGTGTAATATTAAAATGATAATTAACCCAAAAATTAACATTTTGTCATCATTTACTCACCCTCATGTCATTCCAAACCTGAATGAGTTTCTTATGTTGAACATAAAAGAAGATATTTTGAAGAATGCTGGTAATCAAACAGTTGATGGTCCCCATTGACTTCCATAGTATGCTATGGACGTCAGTGGGGACCAACAACAGTTTGGTTCTTCAATATTATTCAAAATATCTTCTTTTATGTTCAACATAATTATACAAACATATACAGGTTTGGAATGACATGAGGGTGAGTAAATTATGACAATTTTTGGGTGAACTATCCCTTTAATGTTTCATACTGTATTCTACTATAATCTTGATGAGCATAAGGCTTCTTTAAAAAAAAAATAATAAATCTTACTGACCACAAACTTTAAATGGTAGTGTATGCAGCATTGATTGATTACTTCTTTCTTTTTTTTTCTTTCTTTACACAATAATTTAGAACTACCAATACATGTATTAATGGCATTATTATGTCATGTTGTGTCATGTATAGGAGGAGACCAGGGCGTTTTAAACACTTTCTTCAGTGACTGGGCAGTAAAAGATATCAGAAAGCATTTACCATTTGTGTACAACCTCACAGCCGGTGCCATTTACACGTATCTACCAGCATTTCAGCAGTAAGTTTTCAAACAAACTCTTATTAAGTATACCAATAGTTCGTCATGTGATGTATTTGTGAACTGTTTAGTAACTAATCATATATGACATTTAACACATACACAAATATGAAACATACGCATTCTGGTTTTGTGCAGGTATGGCCACCATGCAAAAATTGTCCACTTCCTGGGTGGGACTAAGCCCTGGCACCTTTCATATGATCCACAGGCTGCCAATGAGTCATCTTTAAGGGATTCCAGCAAGAACTTTCAGCAATTTATGAATTTATGGTGGGTGGAGTACTACGATCAAAGACAGCTACAATTTAAGAAGGATGACAAGAATGAAGACTATGTAAGAATACACTCACATCAGATATCTGTTTTTGATGTTGTTCATAGTAATAATACCTACGTGGGCCATTTAGCTGTTCTTATAACTTAGATTTATGCATTTTGCAGACACTTTTATCCAAAGCGACTTTGCATTCAAGGAATACAAACCAAAGTTCCAAACCAAATCACCTGGAACTGAGAAAGGGATTGTCCACCCCCCCCCCAAAAAATAAAATATTCATCATTTAGTCACCCTCATGTCAGTCCAAACATGTATGACTTACTTGATTTCCATTGTATTTTTTGTCTATACAATGGAAGTCAATGGGAAACCAAAATCTTTTTTTTTTATGTTCCATTGAATAAAGCAGTTAATGGGTTTGGAACCACATGAGGTTGAGTAAATGATGACTGAATTTTCATTTTAGCATAATTATCTTGTTTAATGGACCTAATATTAAACTGTATTTAAACTGTCTGTCATCTCTGGTCTTTCTCTTTGTTTGCAGTCAGCACAGCAGTTGGTTTCTCCACAGACACATCAGACTCCATCACAAAGCCAAAAGAGCAGCACTGAAGCCCACCACAAAGAGATGATGATGCCCTCTCTACCTCTGACTTTGGACTCACTAACAATCAGCTCTAGCTCATCTGAAAAGTCAGAGGAATCGGTAAGTGGTACTGCACAGAGAAATGAAGGTTTGAAGAACTGAAATGAAGAACTGTGAAAAGTGACACTATGCAGTTTCGATTCGCCTCTCTAAATCAACTCCACCTCCTTTAAAAGTATTGTGCCCTCTAGGCTTTTAGACAAATCCAGTGACACACCCAACAGTGACTCACCACAACACAAAGAGAACATAAACTAGATCAGTTGGTTGCAAAAACACAATGAATGCGAAGAGTTCAGTTTACATGCAATGCAAAGGCTCAGCGATTAAACTGGGCCAGAACCTTTGATCTAAGTAAAGGATAAAATTGTTGTCAGTTTGCTGTCCATCCATTCAATCTATTCCCTGTATAATCCAGTGCAGATATTGTTTGAATAAGTATACACATTACGTTACCTCACAAGAGTGTACATGGTTTATGAATTAAAATTCATTACATTAAGCATTTATGCTACATACATGCTTGCCTTTGCTTATTGTTTGATTTCAAACTAATTTTTATGAATAAATGAACACATGCATTGAACAAAAATACAATATCAAGTTAAATACAGAGTTCTGGCATGAAACTCTAGATGGCGCAGTCCGATAGGTCTACCTCAGTGATGGGCAAACTTGGCCCTTCCAGGCCACTTTCCTGCAGAGATTTGGTCCAACCCTGATAAAACTCACCTGCCTGTAGCTTTCTAGTAGTCTTGAAGACAATGATTAGCTGGTTCAGGTGTGTTTGATTAGAGTTGGAGCTAAACTCTGAAGGAAAGTGACCTGGAAGGGCCAAGTTTGCCCACCCCTGGTCTAGCTCAATCTGACCTGGCGACATCATTGTCACATGGCAGCTGATTGGTTCTCTCCTGTATCGGTAGCCAATGAGCTTACTGCTTAATATTCAAATACCTGGCTTTTGTTTGCTGTAGCAGTTTTGCAGCGCACTTCAGAAACCCTCTACCTTCCCCAGCTCCACCTGTATAGATCTGCTACGGGGTGATTCATGTATGCTATATGGGGGTTATTCTTATGTGTTATATGTGCAGCAGCAGTATTTCTTACATGCTCACAGCAGCGTGTTGTGGATGTATTGGCAGTAGCAAGTCTCGGTACTTGCTCTGCCGCAGCAGCAGCGTAGCAGATCTATTCCGCCAAGACCAAATACATTAACATTATCATGTACATTACCATGCCAATCCCTCCGAGAGTTGTCATGACAGAACTTCAGCCGAAGCAAAGTTAAGAAGCTAAAGTTTGCAATTTCATATCTTGCCCAGTGCCCACCCCATCTTAGTCCCCTCCTCCACCTCCAAATCCTGATTTTGTATTAATAATTTATTGCATATATTGTGAATGTGCATATATTTTGTCATGCAAAAAGTGTTTTAGGAGAAGGCCTATGTATTTATTTACTTATTCATTCTGTCATCTCAGAATATTCTCTTTGATGTCCTGTCTGGTGGGGAGACTGAAGAGACCCCTACTGTAGTCAGCCCTCCATCTAAGCAAGAGAGTGAGCGCACAGAACCAGAGACTACTGATGATTCTGCCACAGCCACTGGAGAAGCTGTATGTAGAAAAATATGCTGATTTACCTGCTTATGGGGAAAATAGCTGATTTTGTTGTTGTAGTTCTTTTAACACTTATTACATCTTTCCAAGATACTTTAGTATCTGAGCTTTATTCAAAAAGTTAAAATTTGTTAATTTTAAAAATTAATAAAAAAAAACAAAAAACAAAGTGAACATTGGGGTATTTGAAATAAAATAAACTTTAACTGAAACAAAAGATAAAAATACTAACAATTATTTTATTTTGGCTTGTTAGCAAGGCAACATTTGACATTTTCATTTAGCTTGTTTAACTTGATTTACTAAAATAAACTGAAATAAAATTGAATAAAAACTAGAAATATAAAAAAAAAAACAATAAAATGACAAAAATACAAAATTTTTACTAAAATATAATTAGAAAATGTGAAAATAAAACTATTTCAAAATATGAATAAAAACTGAAATGGTATTTAAAAATTGTTTTATACTAAAATAACACTGCTTCACAAAATGAAGTTTGAGATGGGTCTGTTTTTGTAAAAACTGCCATCTAATGGTGGCTCATTAACACAGTTTTTAGACTTCAATTTGCCTCATGAATCCACTAGTATACCCCCCCCCCCCCCCCCCC